GAGAGAGAGAGAGAGGAATGGTTAACTGGCATGGCACTAATAGTGAATTTCTCAGTAAAGTTGAACCCGATGCAGAAGACAAACTGTCAAAAGGATGCATCCTTAAACCTAAAATCTTCTAAAATATGGACAAACAAAAAACAATTTCAACCTTACTAAGGAGCATGGTCTCTCCATTGGACAAGATTAATTGATCTAAACAGAAGGGGGCACAGAGCAAATTAATGAGAAATTGCCCATTGCATGCAATATGAAAAAACCTACAAGAAACTGGACAGGTCCACAGCTAAAATGATGTCATCAAATGTGCCACAAAATGACCAACTAAAACTCTAGACCAAATTTCTGAGTTATAAGAACAGATTTGTAATAAACAGAAGATACTAAAAAAGAAAAAATAAAAAAACTATTAGGTTCTACATTCCAAAAGATGCAATCACGAATCTGCACATGGCACATAAAGCCATCCAGAGTAGAGTAAATATAGTTACAAACCTCTAGAGGAGTAAGAGGACACTTCCCATCCATTCTAATCGCTCCAGGTCTGATTATTCGACCAGTTTTATTGAATTTTCCTCTCCAACCTCTTTCACGAGCATTATCCATTTCCCATTTCTCTTCTTCACCCCCATCATATATGCAACAAGAGAAAGCAACCATATCCTACAATATGAAAATAATAGAAAGAGATTTCGAGATTATAGAATGTCTATTATCATATTGATAAAGAAAAACAAGCAGAAAAAGCACCAAAGAAGTAAAAACTTTCTCAAGAGGATGTAAAGCAACAGTTTACCTCCTCAAAACGAAGATGCACCGAGACGTACTTTCCACCAGTCCTGGAACTATTCTTAACCATTCGCTCCACCATACTTTCCCCAAGCGATCTTATAGGTTGAGAAAATCTCAATGCTTCATAATTAGCCATGCATCTAAGGCTTTGGACATAAAGTGGAACTTCATGTGCCAATCGGTTTGAAAAAGGTGCAATACGAACAGCACTGCAACATTAATTCATTCTTAAGTGATGTTCGTATAAGAGTGGTGGGAAAATGATTAATAACCATGCATAGTAAAAACAGAAACAAAAGAGTTCTTGCCTAGAAGAAGAATGTTGTTTCATATTAAAATCAAACAATAACTGGAAGCCAACTCTGGAGGAACAACATATTTGCAAGTTCAGAAGGCGGGACAGGAAATGCATACCCTAGTTTCAACAACTTGGGGAGGACCTTTTCAAGGTAATAGGTTGAACTTGACCAGGCCCTAACTCTCAAATTCACAATGTTGCTAATATTATTGTCAAACTGCTGCAATATAGCCTCCGGAAGCACTTTTACTACTTTAACATCATTTCTAAGTATATCAATAAAATGCTCCTCATCAAAAATATCTCCAAACTTGCTGCATCATCCAGAAATGGTAGTAAATATGTAATTCAGTTCAATATTCTGTAACATGAAACATATCAAACATAACAACAAATATCATCAGAACATTGAGACAGTGAACATCATCATTCAAGAAAAGTTTCTAGCATCAATCATGAAGGTTTGTTAGCTACTTAGGGATGAGCGTGGCAAACACCAAAACAAATGATTATCTAGAAAATGAAAATGATTCAAAATGATGCAAAGGAAAAAATAAATAAAAAATAAAAAATAAAAAATCATCATCATTGATGCCTTATCCCAACTATTTGGGGTTAACTACACAAATCATGTTCCGCCATTCCGCTATATCAAGGGCCATACCCTCAATCAGACCATAAATCAACATATTTTTTCTTACTACTTCCATCCATGTCCTTTTGGGCCTTCCCCTTGCCCTATAAGAGCCTTCCACTTGAAATAAATTGCCCCTCCTAAGTCTTAACTGGTGTTATTCTAAGATGACGTTCTACATGATTAGACCATCTAAGTCTACCTTCCCTCATCTTATTGCCTATTGGAGATACCTTTAAGTTCCCTCAGATGTATTCATTTCGAATTCTATCCATTCTTGTCACCACACTCATCCATCTCAAGACCCTCATCTCAGCAACAGTCATTCTATAGAAATATTTTTTCTTAACCACCCAACATTCAAGCCCATAAAGCATGGTTGGTTTTACAGCCGTTCTAAGAACTTCTCCTTCAGTTTCACTTGTATGCAATGATCACATAAGACTCCAGAAGCACATTTCAACTTCGTTCACCCAACTCTGATTCTATGTGCAGCATGTTCCTCAATCTCTTAATTCTCATGGATTATCAACCCAAGATATCGAAAATAATTTCTTTTAGATACTTCTTGGCCATCAATCTTAACTAATTCCTCATTTGTACTCCTATTATTACTAAACTTGCTTTCCATGTATACTACTAAACTTGTAATTAGTTAATTACATAAAGTGTACATTCTAAATATCAAAAGAAAAATGATGGAATTATTTGAGAACTAGGACACACCAATTCCATATGCTGGGCAGGAATCCCACTAAGTGGGGTTCATAAAAACCCAACATAAAACAAACACAGGGGAACCTACCATAATTGTTTGAAAAGTAAGCTAATTTTTGTAGGCAGTATGGACCCTAGAGGACTCTACCAGCATTCCGGAGAACACACCAATTCCATATGCTGGGCAGGAAACCCACTAAGTGGGGCTCAAAAAGCCCAACATAAAACAAACACAGGCGAACCTACCCTAATTGTTTGAAAAGTAAGCTAATTTTCACAGGCAGTATGGACCCTAGAGGACTCTACTAGCATTCCAGAGGCAACCAAACCCCATTTAGATCAGAAATTGCAAGGCATCTCAGTCAGGACCTAATCTAGATCTCTATCCTAGAATGCTTCAAGTGAACTAGTATCATATATACAACAGGAATAATCTCAAAGGACCCATATCCAAGAAGGCGGAGGCAGCTGAATAGGCAGTGGGGGCTCTGGGCCGCCTAGGTACTAAGGCGGCCAATGTTGTTTTTTTCTTTTTTTTTTAAATTTGGATCCCCCACACCTTCCCCCATTTTATTGTATATAGAATTGTGTGGTTTTTTATTCAATAAGTTTTGTATATAATATATTGTTAAGATGTCGGAAGCCAGAAGCATAGATCAAACATAAACATTTACGACTTTAGACTGTATATGAAATAATTATAACTCAAAAGCAACATTAAAAGATAAAATCAACTCGAGATGTCCTTTAAATCTTGCAAATCACAAGTCACTCACATGTCACAAAAGTTTCAAAAGTTATTAGCAAAAAGTCATATCCGACCAACAAAGGCTACAAACTACACAAAGTCTATATTCGACCAACAAAGGCTATGAACTCAATTATAAAAAATAAAAAAAATGGTTTATGAATCATACAAGTAAATTCACGTTTACAACTAAAAAAAAAGAAGTAAAAAACAATATTCATTCAATTTGGGGGCAATGGATTTGTTTATTAAACTGTTTTCCCAAATACCCAAACTACATATCAAAATGGAAAACAATAGTCCAAATAGACAATTACATATCATATATATATATCACACATTATCAAAAAAAAGATAAAAACAAATAATAGCATCATTAGACATTAAGGGGAGAAAAATACAAAACCTGGTAAAAACTATTGAAATATACCAACCTTCTTGAAGTGGACTCGATTTCGGGTCAAACCGAAATGTTTGGGATCCCAAATCTCCACTTTTACATCCTTTATAAGCCTCAATATTGGGGATGAATATCCTTTAATATCATGACCATTCGAGGATTTGGAAAAAATTTTCAATCTCTCAAAAAATCTTCAAATCTAGTTTTTTGCAAGATGTTTCTCACTCTAAAGTTCACTAAAATTGTTTTTGGGGGCAAGAATGGCCCAACAAATCCTTATCTCTGCCCTCTCATGAAAAACTTTTTCCGCCAAAGTCGAGGCAGCACCTAGGTGCCCGCCTTTTACACCACCTAGGTGGGCGCCTAATTTCTTCCGCCTAATGCTATCCGACTTGACAACGCCTAGGCGGTCAGGTGGTCGACTTTTCGTTCATTGCAAAGGACACATGACATGAGAAACAAATGAAAAGTGGAGGAATAGAGCATGGCATGGATGGAAAATCACACCAAGGCATCTGCTATCCTTGTTGGATGTCTCTCTATTGGATCTGTCAAAATATTGTGAACATGACATGGCCACTTATTTCATAGATCCTAATCACAACAAACATAAGCTTTATTTGCAATGAACAAGCTTGCACTTGAAGCGGACATGTCAGCCATGCCAAGACAATAATCCTCTCACCTATCGTCACAAATCTTTCCCATCTGCAGGCCATATAACAAAAAAAACAGCGAAAAGTTCAATCCAGAAATATTTTAACAAAACAAACATGTCCCTATAAAATTCCTCCAGCTAATTAAAAACTTCTCCTTGCAAGTTTCCTTATGTCCAACCTAAACATATACACAAACTTTTACATTATCCACTTCGATATTATGGAGAGATACTGGAATCCATGAATTTTCAAAACTTACCCCACTACATCCACACTCTGTTCGCTCACAACTTTAAGTTCTATCTGAACTCACGACAGAGTCATGCCACCACCTCAAAACCACATTATCACATATCAAAAATGGTACTTCCTGAACAACATGTTCCCATATTCTTCTTTTAATTTGAAAACAAACTTTGATTGATAGAAGGAAGAGAATTTAAATGAACAACAAAGACATCAAACGCAATCCAAGAAGCCCTACATACCTTTCTATAGAAAAATGGTGGCTTTCTTCTTTGGTGCACCATCAATTATATTAAAAAGAACAGTCTTTCACTTTCTTAAAGTAAAATGAGATTTCACATTTACAATGTAAAAAAAAAAAATCAGATTTGATATCGATTTTAGACTTTGATGAGAGAGCAGACCTCGTAAGGCCCTATCCCTAAATAAATGATAAAAGTTAAAAATCAAGACATACAAAATAATCCCTTCTTGTAATAATTTTTTATATATACCTACATTAAGTCATTAAACCATCCTCAGCTATGAGGCAAAGGGGCAGATATAGAAAAAAATGTGATGACGTATATTATATTTTCACTCAAGTACGTACTCATCATCAATTAAATATTTGGTATTGAAATATTTACTTTGTTCTAAAATGTATAGGAAAGCCGGTTCTCTCAACCCCCTCAGAAAAATATGCACTCTTTCGCTCACATTCCATGCAACTATGTGCTTGAAGCCATGCAGAACTATAGTGAGCAATGATGCTCGTCCCTTAAATGCAATACAAAGAACCTATACAGCCACACAAAACACAATATCTTACAGATACGTGCAGGAATTCTTCATTGTCTTGCCCATTTGTACTCTTTGGGATGTCGACGTGAAATCATGAGGGAGTTATAGGACAACTTCAGGCAATGTCATATATTACTTTGTTATGCTCATATATTTTAGCTTGAGGGATAATTGTACTTGAAATATTTGATAACAGGTAACATTTCAACAATAAAATTGAAAAGTACACATCATATTGTATTGCTCAACTAATCATAGAACTCAATACGATTATAAAAAACATATTATCAAGACAGAGAGCAGAGACAAAATAGTCATAATTCAGGAAATGTATTAATACTCTGTTCCTAACCTCGAATCTCTCCAGACACTATTTAAATGGAACTTTGGGATTACAAGTGTGGCATTCAGAAGGCCAGCCACAGCCACTGCATTGCATATCTGCCAGGAAAAACAGTTAATGACATTCATTTTCTAAACAGAAAATGAGGTAATAGCATTTACTTTGTAAAACCTTAATTGTAAAAAAAAAAAAACACATTAGTGGGAGGTTAGTTTTCTTTTCAGTGTAGTAGGGGTAGGGGTATGCTGGGAATCAAATTGCTGACATTATTGAGAAACACTAAATCAAGAGGCCAAACCACTTTTTAAAAATTTTCCTTTATCTTTTTCATTCTCTCTTTTCACTTTTTTTTTTGGGGTTTGTAACAACGAAAAACGCATCGCCTACTAGGATACATCCAACAGAACAAAGCCTGATAAACAGCATGCAATGGGAAATAAGGAAATGGAAAGGGATATCTTTAGAGGCCACTCGGGTTTGAGGAAACTGAAATCCAAAGATTTTCAAAATCTATAACTTTAAAAATCAATGATTCCCGGCTCAAATATTTGTTTTTTCCTATTTGAGAACCAATTTGGAAATTCATGGATTCCTTCCAAACATTTCCATTTCCAGTGTTTGGTAATCAAACAGGACCCACCATATCTTTGTTGGGCATTTCATCAAACAATTATCTTGCACAACCAAACAGAATCCATGAATATGTATCAGACCACCAATGACCCAAATAAAGAGAAATCCAGTGACAAGAAAACAGAGAGAGAAACAAAATATCAAAATCAAAGACATCATTCTTTTATCAAAATCAGACGGCATCGTAGGAACCTTTCTCATAATACAACTGGACAAAACAACCTGGTTGAAAAAGGATTCTCGCATTTTATTTCTTATTTACCAAGCCTCTCAATATATAAATATATCAACACCCTAATTTCTCTCTCACATCTCTCTCAGCTCTTTCTCTCTCTTCAGTTGCTATGTCTCTATCTACACTGCCTATTATTAGGATTCTCTCTCTATATCCACCACCAACTTTCTCTCTCTACACTGCTCCTCTCCCAATCAACCTCCCCTCTGTAATGTGAATTCCTGGCCCTCTCTGTCTCTCTCCTCAAACAATGTCTCAAAGCTTCAACCTTGTCTCTTCTTTACCCAATTGCCGGAAAACGACTTCTCCTACTGCTTTGAAGCTCCACTAGGTAGTGCACATTGGAGATGGTTATTTGATAGGTTGAGTTTGAGCTAAGGAGGCGTGCTGAGCCGGAGGCCTTGTCCAAAAAAGGAGACGACCCCAGCTTGGTCGTGAAGTTTCCTAGTAGCTCCCTCTTTCGCCAGATGGTCTGCGAAGTCGTTGGACGTCCTCCACGTATGCCGCCATGAGACGTCTATATCCCTGCAAAGATGTTTAATTTCCTCAAGTGTAGTGATGAGATACCAAGGCGGGGGAGACGTGTTACTAGCCCATGAGATAACATTTTTTTGAGTCTCCTTCTACAATGAGGTATAGTCCCCAAGAACGGTTAAACTTTTTCATGCCTAGAAGGAGAGCCAAGGCTTCTGCAATTTGAGCTTCCATGGGGCCAAGGTGCTCTGAGAAAGAAAGGATAACGTCACCTTGGTAATCTCTAAAGACCCCCACAGCCCCTGCTGGACCTAGGTTCCCAAAGGACCACCCATCAAAATTAAACTTGATGGTTCCTTCTGGGGGTGGCTGCCAAAAGCTGGATCTCTGTGGTTGTCTTGGGTAGTGGAAGAGGATATTATGCCATTGGGGAAGGAACTGAGTCCTTGGAATCCCCGAGAACAATTTGTGGTTCGCCGCCCAGAAGGAAACCAAGGATAAAGTCTTGTGCAGGAGGGCTGAAGTTTGTAATTTTGAGCTTTGGAAAATACGGTTATTCCTTTCTAGCCAAATATTCCACATGGTAGCCGCTAAGGTGGTCTTCCAAAGGGCTCTGCTAGCCTTCGGCCAAGGGGTATGAAGCTCATAGGAGATGAGAAACTTAACCGTAGGCGGAGTGACCCATTCCATGCCGAATAATTGTAAATCTTTCCCCAAAGTTCAAAAGAGAAGTCACAGTGAAGGAAAAGGTGAGGGTTAGACTCCTCATCTTTTCGCATAGGGCGCATCTGCTGGGAAGAGAAATCCCTCGTTTCTGAAGATGATCTATAGTGAGGGCTATATGAGAGCAAGCGAGCCAGTTGAATGTTTGGCCCTTAGGTGGGGTGAGAGTAGCCCACACTTTTGATGCAATAACAGTGGGGTTGGCCGAGAAGGTAGGGGGTTGAGCTAATAATTTATAGAAAGAAGCCACTGAAAACTCACCCGAGGGAGTTGGGGTTCAAACTATAACATCTCTCCCTAGGTTGGAAATAAAGTGAGAGTGAAGGCCATAATGAAGAAGTTGGAATTGGGTGACCTCCTCTTCGATAAGGTTCCTCCTAAAGAAAGGGTTCTAGGTTCTCCTTGCACCTGTGAGGACCACTTCATCCGCCACTGTAGCTTCTTGGTTGACCGCCAACGAAAAGAGAGCTGGGAAAGCCTCCCTCAGAGGTGAAGAGCCCAGCCAAAGATCTGACCAGAATCTCACACGAGATCCCTCTCTTGGGAGAAACCTTAAATGTTTTTTGAAGAGAGAGAAGGCTATGGAGAAAGATTTCCATGCCCCTGAAGCGTTATACCTATGGGAATTATCTGGCACCCAGGCTCCTTCAGGTATCCTATACTTGTGTCTGAGAACTTGAGCCCACAGGAAGTCAAGCTGGGTCGCAAGACGCCGCCACCACTTGCCGAAAAGCGCAAGGTTATGTTTTTTGAGAACTCTGATACTTAGACCACCCTGGTTTTTCGGAAGGGAGATATTATCCCAAGCAACAAGATGGAATTTAGTCTTTTGAGCTTGCCCCGACCAAAGGAAGTTCCACATAAGCTGGTTCAAACGATTAGCCACGAGAGCAAGCATGTGGAAGAGAGACATCAGGTAGACAGGAGAGTTAGATAACGTAGCTTTTATAAGGGCAGTCCTGCCTGCCATAGAGAGAAGATGGCCTTTCCATCCAGCCAAGCGCCTATCCACCCTATCGATAACATGGGACCATTGTCCTTTTTTGGGTTTGACTAGCCCAAGAGGAGTCCAAGATAAGTAGTGGGTAGGTCCTCCACTTTGCATTCCCAGTTGGGGATGAGCCCTCTAATCTCGGCATTAGAAATAGCTACCCCCATCATTCTTGATTTTTCAAAGATAACTTTGAAGCCGGTTGGCTTTTGGAAGCATTTGAGGAACAGGTACAGGGTATCCACTTCCCTAGGGGAAGCATCTAGGAACACCAAAGTGTCATTTGCGTATTGCAAATGAGTTATTGTTGGACCTTGTCTACTGCTTCTGATGCCGGAGAGTAGTCTTGCCTAAAACACTCAGGATAAGGAGCGACTGAAGACTTCGGGAGCTATAGAAAACAGAAAGGGTAAGAGCGGGTCTCCTTGGCGAAGACCCCTTATAGAAGAGAAGAACCCTCTAGGGATACTGTTGATAAGGATAGAAAAATGTGGGTGCGAGTAGCAACCACGCATCCACTTCCTCCAACAGTTTTGGAAACCCAATATGAGCATCGCTCTTCCAAAATGGACCAGTCAACGTGGTCATAAGCTTTTTCCCAGTCGATTTTGAAGATCAAAAAAGGAATCTTATCGAGGTGTCTAGAGTGAATGCACTCGTGAGTCACTAAGGCACCATCGAAATCTATCTGTCTTTATAAAAGCAGTTTGGGAAGAGGAAATTATAGACGGGAGGACCTTTTGGAGTCGGTTGCAAGGACTTTGGCAAGAATTTTGTAGGAAGAATTCAACAGGCTGATGGGGCGGAAATACTTAATTTCCTATGCTTCTTCCACTTTGGGAACTAACGCAATGAAAGTAGCGTTAATTGCTTTGTGCAGTTTACCCCGAAGGAAAAGCTCATCAAAAAAGAGTTTAAAGTCAAGACGAAAAATGTCCCAAAACGCCTTAAAAGGTGCTATTGGAAAGCCGTCTAGGCTGGGGGCTTTGTCCTTAGCAAGAGCATCAATTCCTAGCATGATCTCTTCTACTGTGTAAGGTCTTTCTAACAACTGTGCCCTATTGTCAAAGAGACTCAAAAAATCCAGAGAGGACATTCTGGGTCTAGGCCCATGGGGAGCCGTGTAAAGAGACTTAAAAAGTCTACAATTACTGATTCTATCTCATCTGGTTGGGAATAGGTGCAGTTGTTATTCTTGATCATTGAGATAGAGTTATCTCTCCTACGACAGTTGACAATCCGATGGAAGAAAGCAGTGTTGAGATCCCCTACTTTTAGCCACTTAACTCTCGATCGCTGGAACCAATATATCTCTTCTTTGTGGAGGGTAGAGAGATATTCCAGTTTGGTCTTTTTCCTAAGTTCAAGCTCTGTATCAGTCAGTGTAGTCTTTCCTCCGCTATATGGTAAAGGGATCGAACTGTGGCCAGTTGAGAAGTTTTGATTTGAGAGAAGTTGCTAGGGATAGACTTGCTCCAAAACTTGAGCGAGCCTTTGAGAAGTGGAAGTTTCGACTGAAGGATGAATCCTGCTCTTCCAGAGACGAGAGAGGAGTATGAAGACCACCAGGCTGGAAAGAGGGGAGGAAGGGACTCCTCTTGCAGCCAGAGGAGATCAAATCTGAAGGGTCAAGGACCCCTCTTAACAACTAGGGTGTCAAGAAGGATCGGACAGTGATCCGAGGTAGGTTAGGGTTGAGCCTGGGCTAAAGATCTCGAAAAGAGTTCTTCCCAATGCAGAGAAAAAAGAAACCTATCGAGTTTAGAGAGGGTAGGATTTGCAGCATGGTTAGACCACGTAAACTTACAGCCTTGGAGGGGAATGTCCAAAAGTTCATTCCGACTAATAAAGTCCGAGAAATCCCTTATACCTTGGGAGCTAGAAGATGAGGAATTTCTCTCGTGGGCCCATCTGGTGACGTTAAAGTCACCACCTAGACACCAGATAGGGTTCGACAGAGAGGTTACCAGGTCCAATTCGTTCCAAAGCCTCTCTCTGAGATTAGAGGAAATAGGACCGTAGATAGCAGAGAATTTCCAAGGTATTCCATCGAAAGTGCTAGTTAAGAAGACAGTGACAGAGAATTCCCCTATGTAAGAGGAGGTGAGGGTGTGATCAGCAGGGTTCCAAACTACCCAAATGCCTCCTAACGCCCCATTCACCGCTAGGGAAACCCACTGGCTAGGTCTCCTACCCCAAACCTGGCGAATGAACTGAAGGTCAGTTTGGTTTCAACCAGAACTAGAATGGCAGGTGAGTGTTTGGAAGTGAGATCCTTGACCACATCCTTCTTGGAACGACTTCCAAGACCTCTTACGTTGCAAACTAACAACTTCATCTATGAACACTGGGTGGAGGAGAGGGGGCCAGTCTAAGGGACCTCCTCAAGGTAGTCGGATTGGAGTTTAGAAACAGGCTAAAAGCGGGCTGACCCTCAAAAGGGATAGAAGAAAAAAGATTACAAAGTTCTCTCTTTCCTCTAAAATTCACCTGCATCCTGCTTTGAGCGTTTGCTGTAAGGAATGTATGCGCTGGTCCTTCGATTCCATCATAGGCAAAACCCATGATTCTGTACATCTCGAGCATTCTGGCGTCAACCCTATTTGTCCCATTGCCGTCGACCTCCTCTGTTTCTTTGAGAGGCAGAGGAGGAGAAATGGGAGTTGCAGTGTCTACACGGTACGTCTCATCCCCGTAGACCACCTCTGTCTCCTGAAGAGCCAGAGGGGGAGAGATGAGAGGTGAAAGGGGCTCACCATTTGTCCCATCCCCGTTGACCGCCTCTATTGCCACTAGAACTAGAGGGGGAGAGATAGGAGTTGGGGCTTCACAAGGCAGAGGGGGCGAGATGGGGGTTGCAGCAGCACCACTGTCAATCCCATCCCCGTTGACCACCTCTGCTGCCTCGAGGTCGTGAATGGGGGAGATTGGGGTATCAGGAATTGGGTGCGTCTCGTCATCCAAGTGCAGAGGATGGGAGAACGAAGGATGGAGGTCTGGGGCAAGAGAGGGGGGGACCACTTGAGAGGGTGCTGAAAGCCACAAAGAAGGGTAAAAGTAAGAGGGGGTAAGCAACTGAGGAGGAGAGACAAACAGGACCAGAGAAGTCTGGGGAGCGAGAAGATTGAAGGCAGGTGTCTCGTAGAACCCAGAGGGTAAGTAGGCAACATAATGATAGGTCTGGATGGAGGAGTGGGAATACAACAGGACGGGAAAGAAGGGGGCCATGCCACTTGAAAGTTGTGCACATTGTGGACCTGAACCAGGTGCAGGGTGAAAGAAAGATGTGGGGCTAGAAGGTGAGCTAAGGACGAAGGGATGGGAGGAGGTTGGTCCATGGAGTGGACAATGACAAAGCCAAGAGAACAGGGAGGACAATCCGAAGCAAGGGGGTTGCAGGCTGGGCTGTGAGGGGAGGCAGCACTCAGGTAAAAAAGGAAAAAGTGCATCGAGAGATGAGTCGGAGAGAGGCCAGGGGGTGAAAACGGCGTGGGGGTTGTCAGAGGAAGAGGAGGCGCTGACTTCAAAGGGGGGTGAAAGCCGGGGAAGGTCGATAGGGAAGACCCCTCCTCAGGCAACATGAGGACTTGTCCATCAGAGGGAGGAGACGGCTGGACTGCAGCAATTGAGGCCGGCGGCGACTGACAGGGATAAGACAGGGACAGCTGGGGGGACAGCAAAGGCAGCGAGGACAGTGAGGAGACAGGTGGCCCTGACTCGAAACCGATGGATGAATCACTAGACGGGTGGACGGCGGGAGAGGGCGACCGAAGCTTCGCATTTAAAGGAGGCACAGGCTCGAGGGGGCATTGTACTGAGGGACAGGGGGAGGAAGACGCGTGTTGAAGGGATGGATCGCTCCCTGCCCAAGGCGAGCACTGGTAGAACACGTGGCGGGAGAGGAAGAGCTAGGGACGGGCTGAGGAAAAGACGGTGAAGATGGGTTGGGACTGACATTGAAGCCCGAGAGAGAGCAGAGGGTGAAACGTCAACGCAGAATTCCTTACCAGGCCGATGTGGGGAAGTAGTATTATCAGCCAAAATCGAGTCATTGGGTCGACTAGAAGAACCCGGCTTGGAAGGAGAAAGGGGAGTCGCACGAGGGCACCACCTCACACTAGTGCTCGAAAAACTTCGGGCTGGGTCGGGCGGACGTCGACGATGCCTATTGCATGCCGATTTTTCTTAATGACCTCAGTCCAAATCTATGGTGGGTTTTTCGGTGAAGGATCAGGGGCTGGAAAGAGTAAGAAATGAGCAGAGGGTGAGGACGCCTGCTGCACCCACGATGCATTGATAGGATAGAACAAGCCCTTGACCTCTAACCAGATGGTTTGAGGGATCCAGCTAGCATCAAGGATTTCCAACAACAGCCGAATAGAACCCATAGGAAGAGTCTCTAGTGAGATCCAATGAACGGAAATCACAGAGCCATAGGCAGCAACGATTCTCCTGAAAATCTCAGGAGACCATGCATGTAGGGGGATGTTCGCCAGAGTGAGCCAAACTCTTTTTTTTCTTGAAAGACCCCTCCATCGGTGAACACAAACGGAGCGAGCAAGCCATCCCTTTGAAAGAAAGGTTGACTCCTACTTGTAGAGCGATCTGAGCTCCTTTGGAGAAGGAAATAGGAAAATGATTTCTCCTCTCAGCAAACGCCTGCAGATCATGTTGTCCTCCTTGAAGGTACCTTTAGCGCATTTTTCGATTCCGCGTATGTCATCCCTAGCAGGAAGGAACCTCCCAACCAGCGACGCCTGAAACTTAGTCCTACTCACCGTGACTTCCTCCGGGATGGATTGAACAACAAACGGGAGAAAGGGGGAAGAAATGAAATGAGGAACCCCAGCTAGAGTCGACTAAGTTACAGAGGAAGAAGAGGGGGATGGATTGCCAAAGGACCCATCCCTACCACCCAGTCTGGAGCTAGGTTTCGCAAGGGCATGAGCATAAGAAGAGGGATGAGCAGACTTAGCAGAGGTAAGAGAAGAAGAAGAAGGGAAGATGGGAAAAGGGAGGGAAGGCCCAGAGAGAGATGTCTGATGGGAGGACGGGTAGAAGGATACAACTTCTAGATGTCATTCCAGCTCAAAGGCTGGGGCTGGGGCTGAGACATTTTTGTGGGCCTTGGTCCAAAATAGATAGATTAATTCTTGAGCTGGTTAATACTTAATCCACCTAGCTCCAAACTCAAGCTTAATCAGTTTTCTTACAGCAAGGAATCTCACCTGCTAGCAAATTTTTGCTCAAATCTAGCATTTATTGCAAATCAGTGAGCCTGCCAATCAATTTTGGAACAGATCCAGTTCGCAAATTCTTAGAAAGTCTCAATTCGTAAAACTTTTTACAGTACCAGATTCATTGGATTGGACCAGAAAAGTTGTTCTACTAAGAACATTCACTGAATCTATTCTACCCAATTCAGGTGGGATTCACGAGAGAAGTAATTGCTTTGAAGTAAAAGCTTTAGAAGATTTGAACAGTTTGCCACCTCTAGTGAAATTGAAGCTGAGAGTTATTTGAAACAATGTCTTAGTGCTCAATGTTCAATGCTCAAAACTTTCACAATGGGATTTCTAGAGTTTTTCATTGGCAAGGTTTGTGCGTGTGTGTGTGTGTGTGTGTGTGGAGAGAGAGAGAGAGAGAGAGAGAGAAGGGAGGGGGGGAAGGAGGAAGGGAGGGACAGGAGTTGGCATGCAAAGAGAAGTGGCAGTGGTTATGATTAGGAAGGAGATCAATGAAAGAGAGTGAGAAGAGGGAAAGAGGGGTGGACCTGTTTAGAGAACATGTCAACATTGTTGTCGGGTGCGGGTGCATTCTCGGGAGCGAGAGCGGGTCTGCAGAACCGTGGATTGTTGGAAGCTCCTTGTGGTTGAGATCGTCGTCCGTATGATTCTACATCAAGGAACCACGATCCTTGTCACAGGGAAGCGCGATTCCATGGGGTAGGAATCGCAATAATATGTTTTAAGGGATCAAGAATGATACGTGGGTTCACAATACCATTGGGCACAAAACTCAATCATGGTACATGAACCAGTGCCAAATAGAGAAAAAATCATAGGCACTGTGTCACACCCGTGAGAACTGCAGTTCGAACCTGCTCGGAACGTGGATCACAATATAGGGAACCGCGTCCCATCCAAGATTCCTAGCTGGAACCGCGGAATCGAGGTTCCGGAGCCTGTCCGTGACCTTTCCTACAAAGTTCCAGCAACTATGCATGTTAAAGACAGCAAGGGAGATGCCCAAGATGGGGATTGATCTGGTTAAAGGGAAGATCAAACAGACACAGGAGAGAGATGGGGGTCTGGTTAGAGAGATCAAAGAGAGGGAGATGAGATGAGAGAAAGTTGGGGATGGGTATGCATTTTACTAGTGTGTGTGTGTGTGTGAGAGAGAGAGAGAGATAGAGACAGAAGCAAGGGTTTTACAGCAAAAGAGACAGAGAAGGTCCATGGGAGTAGGGCCCTTTTCTTTGAATGGGCTCGATGATTGGAATCCACAGGTCATCGATTTTGGAAATATTAGGTTTCCCAAAGGATTTTGGTTTGTATAATTGCTGTAAAAAAATCCAAAAATGGAGAAATCTTTGATTCTGTGAATCAAATAATTATGTGAAAACCAAACAGGGGGGTGTTTTCAAATCTTGGATTTTAGAAATTCCCAAATGGACCCTTATTACATTTTCTCAATTTTTATTGAGTAAAAAACATTATTTGATCAAGTTGTAACAAACAATAGAAAAACCACTAATATGAAAAGTTCCCAAAGAAGTTCAATTCACTATATATTCTCATTATCCTTGAAAATAACATACCGATATACGCTGCTGATTCAAACCACCATTAGCTTCAATGATGAGGTAACCGTTTGAGGGGGGCAGCTCTGAAATTCATTAAACAAGAACCATTTGGCATCTAATAGTACCATGCTCTTTAAAGACAACTAGTTGTAGAAACATTCTTATATGGCCTGTTTATTTCAATAGGAATTTCTACATTCACACAAAAACAAGAAGATTGAGAGTATAAATTATGGATGCACCAGTTAACAACTAAATGACCATCAATTTCTAGATAAAGAAGATGCATAATTGATAACTAACAACGCAGAATATTAGATGCGATTATACTCATCTGATTTACGCATATCTATAGTGCTAGTAAAATCAGAAATGCAGAGAGTCAGTTAAACTACTCTAGTGGGTAACTAACCAAGAGACCATGGGTGAAAAGCAGATTTCGATAAAATCGAAAATCT